TTATAAAAAGCTATTTTTTTTTTTTTTTTTTTTGATTTACAACATATTTTTTTTAATCTCTGATTATATTTTGAATATGAGGGGGAATGAATTATACAGTTTGGAAACCGTTAAAGATGAAGATTGGGACCTTTTGATTTGGATTTCTTCTCAGATGTCCTGGGAGATTTATGCATATTTATTTGTTGTGATATGGAATACCATAGGATTCGGAGATGATAGAACAAGAGATTTCAAGGAAGAAACAACTAGGATCATTAGTTTGATTCGAAAATTATCTAAAAACATGTGCATTGATCAAAATAAAACCAAAAAACTTATTAGACTTTTTGAAGATTATAAATACTACCGTCTTGATGGATCCATGTATATTATAAGAAGAAAAGATCTCGTAGAACTCGTTATGGGACGTCTCGAATCACATGGGTTAAAGCATACATTACAATTTTCTCAACAACTACGAAGATTATCAATGAAGCAAAAGGAAAAACTTAGAACTGTTATTTTAGAGCGAATGGAAGCATTAGTTGATATAGCTCGACCTGATGACAAATTGATTTCAGAAAAAGATGACGCCAGTAAATACAAGAATAAAAAAAAAAATGCTCTCCTTGAGCAAATTACTGAATTGCAGAAAGAGAATTCAAAATATCAGGCAGCATATGGAAATTTGATCAATCTCGGTTTTAGTGATGAAGATCCAAATAACATTGCTAATTTTCATAAAGATATTAATGGTTTACAGGATTTACTCGATGATTTTACACTTATTTCTGGTCCTGAAAATATAGTTGATGTTATAAAGTGCAATGAACTTTTATTACATTATAAATGTAATGTTGAAGTTAAAAGTGAACATGGAATACAAGTTCTATCTGCAGCGCTCCAACGATTGACGATTGAAATGACTATTACCGAAATAAACAATTATTTTAATGCAAATGGTTCTACCGTTGAAGTTAAACTAATGACTTTGACAAAAGAAATAGTAGATACAACAAATTCGTTCGCAAAGGAATATGCAGGAACAAATGAGATTGCCAATGCTATTCCGATTAAAATTCGCCAACAAGTTCATGCTATGCTTGGATGTTATGCGTTCTCAAAAGATAACCATTCGTTACTTGTGAAAATTTCTGAATTAGTTCTTACGGAGTTGAATCAATATCGAAAAGTTACTGATGATGGTAATGAAATTATACCAATAATTCGTAAGATTATTCAATTATTTATTTACCGACTTCAAACACATTCGACTATTCCAACATATAAATTTTACAATAATGGAGATAAAATCAACTATATTTTCAGGACCAGAAATAAGTGTAAAAACCAGGGGCAAAAAGAATGAAACTCGGAGAGAAACTTATAACGAAACAATGA